TGTCAATGTATTTTAAAACTAATTTTTCCGACGTCTAATAATTAAGGATTACTTTCTCATCTTTTTATTTAACCTATTTCTAAAGTTTATTCTTTTTCATTTTTAAGAATAATAATAATAATAATAATAATAATGATGATGATGATGATGATGATGATGATGATGATGATGATGACGACGACGACGACGATGATGATCATAATAATAATAATAATACTAATACTAATAATAATAATAATAATAATAATAATAATAATAATAATTCTTGATGAGATCTTATTTTAATAAGTCCTGATCTGATCTGATCTATATGGATCTGATCTGATCTCATAGGATCTGATCTGATTGGATCTGATCTGATTGGATCTGATCTGATCTGATTTGATCTGATCTAATCTGACCTGGTCTGATTCGATCTGATCTGGTCTGATCTGATCTGATCTGATTTTAATAAGAATAAGAAAAAATAAGAAAAAAATAAGTTGAACGGAACGGGGCCTACGTCAAAAGTTCTACAAAACAAGAGGTGAAAAGAAAATTTTATTTTATCAAATACTTAATGAAATTGTGTAAACAAACAAAAATTATCGAAATGAGAGAAAAAAATTGTAATTTAATTGGGGATGGAGGGAGTAATAAATAGAGCAAGTATATGTTTCCGTTTACTCTTCCCAGCCGAGACTCACTCACAATATCGACACCTTCTAACTCTCAATTTACCATAGCCCGCATATTCTATACTCACTGTCTGACTTATAAGCTTGAGGTAACGACTTTCAATAAGCTCTCTATATTCATCCTAATGATCACAATAATAGATATTTGGATCTTCCAACACCTTATTATTTAAAAGACAGTACTCGAAGTAAAATCGACCTCGATATTGGAAATCTCGCAGACTATCTCCACCAATGACAAATTTATCGGCGATCTTGGGATCACAAGAGAAGTCACACAAAGGCTCCTCTATGAACAATGTGTGAAGGTTGGAAGAAGGTATGGTCACGGTGGTGACACCTTCCCAAAGGCAATGTTCCAAACGTAACTCTTCAAGAGCAAGACATCCATAAAATAAATTCTGAGTCGGTTGTTCTTCGAAAAATGTCACGCGGCGTAGCTTCAAGGTCTTGAGATTTGGAAGAAGGCAGATTGAAGGGTGGATTATAAGCCGAACCTGATAGGTCATTTTGATCTCCAAGTAAGTGAGAGTTGTTGAAGTATGCAACGCATATGGGAAAAAGATTGGATCTTTCATTTTTCGTTTGAGGTGAAGATCACATTCTTCAACATCACATTTCCCTGCTGCAGAAATCAAATATTCGATGGTCGATGACGAATCCGATTGGGTTTTGAGTTTGAACTTGACAAGCTTAGATGATCCTCGAAGGGTCATGATTTTTTGTACGAATTTCAAGAAACCATAGGAGCTTTGAGCCCTTTTTTGTTTGAGCTTTAGAACAGGGTGTGGTACCCATATGTATTGCCATCTCTTGCACAATATGCTTGTTTGAATGGCTTGTTCTAACGTTAAAAAAGAAAGAATATGAGAGAGAACATCTTTGTCTAAATCATTGAGTTTGGTAACCTTCTCTTTTTCTTGGAGCATTGTATTATTTCCTAGCTTGATAATCTTCTTTGAGACAATTTGGTTGGAAAAATTGAAATGAATGTGCGTATTTATGTATACTCCCTTGGTAACAAATTTGCTCCTATTCATACGGGAGAATGAGTGGCTGAATTATAATACTCAGCTTATATGGTTATATGTTAACTACACCCACTTATTAGTATTACCTCCACATCTTACTTATATCTTACTTGGTAAAAAATGTACCGTGGGAAAAATGGGGATTAAGCTATTTGTAACATGTATCCCATTTTGTACCCCAAAGCCACGCACCGATATTTTGTGTTATTGCGATTGTTTACATTGACAAGAAGTATTAGTGTAATTTTTTTAAGTAAACTACTCCCTCCGTCCCATTTTAAATTGACTGTTTGCTTTTTTTCTCCGTCCCAAAATAAGTTACTTGTTAGTTGTTTTCGTAAACTTTTAAAAATAAAATACCTAAACTACCCCTAAAATATGTCACTCTTCTTCACCTTATCTTCTCATTTATCATCACCCCTCCTAAAAAGTAATGTCAATTTCGGAAAATCAACTCTATTTTTTATTTTCCTTAAATATGCCCAAAAGTCAAAACAGACGATTTAAATTGGGACGAAAGGAGTAATATTTTGTGTCAGTGTGAATCGTTAAATTGTTGGTGCATTTCTTTGGGGTACAACTTGGGATAAACTTTTTAGTGTACCCCTAGCCTGGTTTAAAAAAATGGATCTCATCTGTGATGGCACTTCAGAACCGGCCAGAAGATCATCGGAGAGGAAGTAAATTAAACTTTAATTACAGATTGATAAAAAAGCTCTATGATTAACATGCTTCTTCTATCCCACAAAATCTTTCCTATTTTGCCTATTTTTGGTCAAACACTGACACTTTTTTACAATACATTATGAAAAAATAACTTTAATGTAAATTCAATGTAATTAGGTTCATATTAGGATATAATTTTGATTTATCCAATTTTTATAATGTTTATTTTTTCAAATTATATTTAATTTATAGTTAAAAACTGTACTGTTTGACCAAAAAAATTAAAACATGAAAAAGTTTTTGAGAGGAAGAAATAGTAAATTGATCTCGGATATTACTATTTACCACTGCGCACCCCCTTCTCAAACTACTATACACATTGGAAAGAAAACTTCTTCCCTCAAAACAATCTCGTTCAGTCGTACACATTTTTATATAATCTAAATAGGATTAAGCTATTTGTACCCCAACTTTTGTACCCCACTTTGTACCCCGCAGCTTTGCACCAACACAAAGTGTTGGTGAAAAACTAATTTTTGTTAATGCACCAACACTTTGTGCCTGTGTAAATTTTTGTTAACGCACCAACACTTGTGTCGGTGTAAACCATCAAAATGTTTGTGTATAACTGCGGTGTACAAATGGGGTATAATTTGTGGTGTAAGTGTAGCATGACCCATCTAAATAATGTGGTGAGATTCACTCAATCTCTCATATAAAAATTAGGATCATCCTACTCTTACACCAAAAATATCCCAAAGTTAAATCAAATATATGCACTAATATTTTGATAGTTCAAACTAACACAAAATGCTAGTGTGTTAACAAAAATTGCACTAACATTTAATGTCTATGTAAACAATAACCCTAGCATTACACTAGTACAAAATGAAGATGCTACAAATTGGAGTATAAATGTTAGGGTACGATTAGCTTAAATTTTTACCGAGTAGTTTTTATTTTGATGCAATATAACTTTTAATTTTTTATAATAAAAAGGTGAAAATCCAACCGAGTATTTTGCACCTTAAATTTTGTGACAAGTGATATGCAATACACGTATTGCAAAATATTACGGAGTATATTATTATTTAAAATTGAGGGGTATAGTTTAGAAGGAACCATCAATTTTTCAAATGACACATTATAGGTACCCCGGATCATCCTATTACATTAAAAACCAATGCCACTGGTGGGCCGGTGGCCCAACCGGGCGGCCCGGTCCGGAAACCTAACATCTTGTTCAATGCACCAACATACACTCGCACGCTCGAGATCACAATATCAATAGCTGATCGCGTACCAACCGCTGACATTACATAGAAGATGATGATGATGGAAATTAAGTAAACATGACCGGAGACTAGTAGAAATACTATCAAATGACTCCAAGTAAGAGATGAATGTGTTACTACATTTCGATGGTAAGTGTTAGAGAGTATCTCACCTTGGAAAAGTGAAAAGAAAATATAATGGGTATATAAGCTCTTGAGTTGAACTAGTGATGGATTGGATTCGATCTTTTCAATATAATGGGTATATAAGCAAAGACATAGGAGGCTTTCTCACATACCTATATGAACGGTTGGCATTCTCATCAGTTAAAACATGGTAGATGTTAGGTTCTCCCGGATCAGAACTCTAGTAGTGGTCGCTATGGCATCAATACCTTCAGTAACTGGCACTCATGGAGTACTCAAGGAGAGTTACTGGCACCTGCATTACAGAAGAGGACATGTGAAAAGATTAAAGCCTTGTTTGGGGATATCGTTTTTAGCTAGTGTGGTTAACTTTTAAAACGCTTAAGCTAAGTTAGCATTTCAAAATGCAAATGTAATCGGTCAAATAGTAGCATGTTCCATTACAGACCTTTGCAATTAGATCAACCGCCTTATAAGCGGCATCTACAAGGCCTGTCCCAACAGAACAGCCAATGTGCTCTTCACCATCAGCATCAATGAGCTTAACAGTTGCGGTTGAAAGGCCATGCCTACCACATGTTACCTACACAACGTGTATTGCATCACTATAATTGAGATCTAATGCTTGAGCTCATTCACAACATTTGAATAAGAAAATAAAACTTCATCTGATACTAGTGCAATTAGGTCCTCATCAGTTACTTTCTGACAGTACATCAAATGACTTGAATTGATACATCTCCGGTACTAAAGTTGCTACAAAGTTGTGATAGTATATATGCTCACTTTTTAACAACTGCTCCTCAGTCTCTAGTATTTTTTAGCTCTTAACATTTGCTAAAGAGCACCACCTCATATTATGTGTTGTCTAGAGCTCATATCAAAGAATTTATTGCGAAGCATCATCAACCACATTGACGAGAGAATTGTAGCAAGTAGCCATCGGTTTAAAAAAGGACCGCAATAGAGCAACAGATTTCAAGGATCAACTTTCTGTATAATAAGCACTCGGTTTAAATCTCATCTATTAACTAAAATGAAAAAAAGTGGATGGTTTTAAAAAATGAAGATTAATAAATATTAATGATTTTCATTTCAGCAACAGATTTAAAACGCCAAAAGAGGTCCTCCAGTTCCTTTCCTTCAATCTCATAACCAAGCTGTAAAACAAATAAATTCGAACTTTATACAGCACAAGAAATAAAAATGGGGACCCATTAAGATCTCCTGTGGTAAACGCCAATTCAATATACCTCCATGATTTTCGCTTGCAAAGCATGGCGCCCACTGTGAAATGTGAATATTCATTAAGTTAATAGATCAAATGTGAGTAACCATCTAAAATGCTGCAGGCGAGAAAAAGGGAAATGGTAGGAAACTCAAAAAGAAAATGAATTTAACTGTCATATGATTTGCACAGAAAATCAAGACCCTAAAGCATCATGAACCAAGTATTTGGAAAGAGTAGAAGAATCAAATTGTCTGTGCATGCCCCTATTATTAGCAAAAATAACTTTTTATTAGAAAACCATGATGGAAAAGAAAAACAGACAACATTAATGGCATACATTTGCAAAAATTGGCTCTGGAAAAAAAGTTGCTTATCACCCATGAAGTGGATTAACAACAAGCAATCAAGCATTGAAGGAGAAAATAAAGAATACCTGAGTTTCCCAAGGACAGTACCAGATTCATTTTCCCGACGAAGCCCGATATCCTGTGGAGATATTATCTTATAAGTATTCCTGTTTTAGCATTCCATCCTAGAAAGAAGAGAAGAATACAGATTAAGGTTATAGTCGCCATGAGTAAAGGGTAAGGGAAATATATTTGATGCACAACAATGGTTAAAAATAGTATCACGTGGTTCAAAAGAGTTTCACTTTGTTAAAAGATAAAAAAATTCATTAACCTTTCTCTTACATAGCAAAGCTTGTAATCCATATCAAGATACTTGAGATGATCATGATGATATTTAAACTTTATTTTTTTTGTTACACCAATATTCAAACAAATTGAATTGAAAAAAAAAACTTAAATCAAAGATCATATTTGTATACCATAAAGTAATTTTTAATTAGTAACCGAGGGAGTATTTAACGGAGGCAAGAAGGACTAAAACCAGGGTTTCTAAACCGAGAGTTATTAACTTATTATAGTTCTACACTTCATTAATATATACTTTTAAGTTTCAACTTGTCAACAATGTCAATGCAAAAAAACATATTTGCAAAACAGGTAATCATTGTTTATGGAAACTCCCCAATTAATATTCAAAACCTTCTACCTCAAAAAATATCATAACCTTCAAAATTCATGGCTAATGACTAGATGGTTACTCCTATTTTTCTTCCTCTTTCTAACGCCTTGAGAGTTGTAATATACTACGGTGAGCTTCAAATCTCACATAATTGGTATTCTGGCAAAAAAAAATCCTTGAAGCAATAATACATATTCATCTGTTTCTTTTCTGATGTTGGGTCACTGATTATTAGCTAAATATCTTATACAGATTCTCTTCAAAACATTTCAAAATGAATTAGCATCTGTTGAATCAATGAAACAGAAAGAAGAGAACAATGCAATGTACAGTTCCAAGCAAATCATGCATTGATTTTACACTTTGGATAATAACATTAACCTGATGGATTCCGCTTTCATGAGCAAAAGCATTAGAGCCAACGATGGCCTTATGTGGCTGCATATGCAGACCAGTATACTCCCTCCGTCCCACTCTCTTTGTCCACTTTTCTTTTTCGAGTCATCCCACAACTTTTGTCCACTTTCTTTTTTGGCAGTAGTATACCACCCTCAAACTGTCTGTTTTGCCCCTCCTTTCTTAAATGTATCCACCCACTATCTACCATCCATAAGGGTAATTTAGACCATTTCCACTACATTATCCCAAACCTTGGTATTTGTGCCAAAAACTAAGTAGACAACGAGAGTGTATTATATAAAGATATCATATGTTTAGTACCATCTTGCTTGTCATCATAATGTTTTGTGTATTTTCCCCAGTGTAAAGACCACCTGATACATGCTCGCCACGACATTTCAAAGCCATTACAACCTAAATAAATAAAAAAAGAAATATTCCAACTATGTTAGCTTAGTAGAGAGAAGCCAAACACTGCCTAAAATTATCAAACACGGTCGGCAAATAACGGCTAAATATAATCATACAACTTGGTATTGTATCAACAAGGCTAAATATTTCAAATTAACAAAACTAGAAATATTTTTACAATTACTTGTCAAAGAAAGCAATGTGTAGTCGAATGTCGTTTTGGTAATAAAAAAAAGTTACAAAAAGCATGGTTTGCAATATGTGGAGGGACAGCAAGAAACTATTGGATTTATTTGCCCACTCACTAAATGGGGTTTGGGTGGAATATCATTATAAGTTATAACATGTTGGGCATGTCAATATAAGTGCTCCAACTCAAGGGGGGTGTTAGTCACTACAACCCAAACCCATTTATGGTATTACTTACCTCCTCCAATGAAGCATTTCCAGCTCTCTCACCAATGCCATTTATGGTCACTTCTAACTGTCTCGCACATGCTCCTGAGTCCTGAGAAATGAGCTCCAACATTAGGGTCAGTTGAACTCACTTGTATAGTTGTATGTGAATTCATCAATGAAGATAAAAGGCTACATACAGCTAAAGTGTTCGCAGTCGCAAGCCCTAAATCATTATGACAGTGTGTTGAAATGATAACATTTTCAATTCCAGGGGTGTTGGCTTTTATATCAGCAATCAGCTGTCCAAATTCTGAGGGAATTGTATAACCAACGGTACCGGGGATATTAAGGGTTGTTGCTCCAGCTTTGATAACTTCTCCAAGTATTTGATAAAGAAACTCCCTATCAGATCTGGAAAGAGTGGAAGGTGAAGTAAGAAAGGCATAAACCTTGAAAGACTGCCAGTGTTAAACATGAACGAAGTTGGTTGGCAAACATATGAAATATTGAAGCATCAATATAACGTGAAGCTTATAAATCCTACTAAAGAGTATTCTTCCTAGTTGTATCTAGACACAACAAAATGTAGATACTGCAGACACAGGAGAAATAACAGATACTGTAAAAAGGCATATACAAGGTGTAACCAAAGGACATTGACAACAATATATGGAGGGAAATGAAATAATTTAACCTGCCCGCATCTTCAGGGCTGAATTAGACATCGGGGCATCCAGACCAGGCTCCGGGCAAAACTGACCATGCTAGTTGCCTTCTGCATCACTTGCTCCTCGGTCATTTTGAGCTTGGCCGTCATGTGGATCTCACTTGTGGCAATGAAAGTATGGATTCTAGGCTTCTTCGTGTGCTTTACGGCCTCCAAAGCCTTGCCTAATGTCTATGACGTACTCTATGTCATTCTTACTCCACTTGGCAAGGCCGCAGATGACGGGCACACCATCGCCATCTCCCTTTTGTTGTTGCCATCTTCCGTCACTGCCATCTCTTATTAGCTTATTCGTAGCAATCATCTCTTGTTTGCCGCCACCTTCTCCCATTCGCCTCCACAATCCCTCTTTCGCCTCAGATATCTCCAATTCCCAGCGGCCTTCTCCCGTTCCCCACCACCATCCCCTACAATTCCCACCGCTATCTCCCGTTGTAGTCGCCACCGATGTTACTCCCCCTCTCCCCATTTTAATTTCCTTATTTTCAAATTATTTTAAATAAATAAATGAATTAGGGTTTAAAAAAATTATATATTTAAAAACTAGATCTACAACACTAGTTGTGACATGATTATATTATTTTATCAAATGTTAAACAAAAAATATGAAAAGAAAATGAATGAAGTTTGACAATGTAAATAGTAAATACTCCCTTTGTCCCTAAATATTTGTCACATTTGTATTTCTGAGGTAAAATATCAAATTTTAATTTTTCAATTCATTTTATTTACATATTGGTATAGAAATAAAAAATAAAATTTACATATCAAAAAAAACTACATGAAAAATTTTTCGAAATACGAGGTGTCAAGAATATTTTTTTTTATCAAATAACCAATGAAAACGTATAAATAAACAAAAGGTCTTGAGACTACTGAAAAAACAAGTGTGACAAATATTTTGGGACGGATGAGAGATACTAACCATTGCTGCCATTATATTGGAACACATCCCATAATGATGGACCGAGAAATTTCTGATGTGCACTGCCGCGATATGCAGGCTTACCGGGAGAAGATGACTACGGAGTTCATTGTCTACAGTAATGAGCGGAAAGAGCAAAGCAAAAACCTCTAGTCATCTCATGATTTTATTTCTCGATGTTTTGATATCATTGGACGTTTTGTTTTTGTTTTTTTGGGTGGTGGCAGATACTCGTTATTGTGAAAGGAGTTTAAGTACGCTTTGTGTTTGTGGAGTTTGGAAGTATGGTTTTTGTGTGGATTTGTTAAGGTTTTTTATTTTTTTTTATTTTTATCGGCCAGACACAATGTCCTGTGGTGTTTTATATTGCATCGGTCTTTCATTAGCATCATTTGTTTTGGTATCTGGTGTTTGGCAAAGTTTGCTATGGTAATGGTTTGCTTTTTACTATTTTAAACTGATAAGTGTGGTCATATGTTGGGTTTTACACTGCGGGTGAGGATTTTGATTATGAAATGGAATGAAACACTGCTAGTTTTGTTGTGGTAATTGTGGGATGGTTTTGGGGGTGGGATTCTAGAAATGTTGTATTGACAGTATGAATTTTTCCTGCAAAAGGATGTGACAGACTGCATTTGTTGTGATGAGTTGGTTGGGTGGCCTTGCGTTGTGAGCTTGCATTGTGACAGCGTTAGTTTGGGATACTGTTTCAGATAGTAATTGGTATGACAGAGTTAGTTTGGGATTGAGGGTTTTTTTTGTCACAATGTCGTTGTATGTGTTTGGGGTTTGTAAGCAATGTATCTAACCCCGCCAAATAGGTGTCGTTAATGGCGTGACAAGCTTGAGTTGTTGTGTCCATTCTGTGTAACGTTTTAAGTGTGAATTTAGTATTTGAATTTTTTGGAATTTAGGAGTTTATAACAGATATAGTAAATGTGACTAAAGGTGGGCGCTGGGTGGTGTTGTGGGGGTGGTTTTCGGTGCTTATTTTTGAATGGCCTGTTGGTTGGATTACAATGCGAGTGAAGAAGTTCATAGAAGAACATTTGGTGGTCCCAAAGTGGTGAAATACAAAGTCTAGAGGGGGGGTGAATAGACTTTGTTACAGGTTTAAAATCTTTTTCGTTTCTTTTGAAAACGAGAAAATGAGTGTTAATCTAGAGTCCTTGTGAACTTTAGATTGTGTGCGGAATTTGGTGGGTGGAGTGAGCAGTAATATGGATAGGTTAGTTTTCACAGTTAATATAATTGCAAGTAAGAATAAAGATAAGAGAGAGAGACACGCAAACTTTAACGAGGTTCGAAGGTGGGGTAATCATTCTACGTCCTCAAAATCCACTATGTAGTTGGTTGTTGAATAATGAACCAACAGTTACACTTGTGTGAGTTTTTGCACTGTATATCTTCACAAGACCAATGTTGCTACTGCACTCGTGCTGGCTTTGTTGTTCCTTCGAAGGTCAAGCTTCTTCAACAACTGCAAGATCCGAACAATAGGACTTGCAAGATCAACTTGTAAGAGAGTTGACCTACCCCCTTTTAATCAATAAGTTTGATCAAAAGTAATATCCTTCAACGTGGTGTGGTGCTTGAGGCAAGGAAACCTTCAAGTGTTTACACTATAGCTTTTTGGAAGGAGGAGAAGTTTGCTTCTGGATAAGGAGTTTAGAAATCTCTCTTTATCAAGCTTTTCGGGCTAACTGTGAATGAGATAGCTTTAATGATTGCTTCGTTGTGTTGTTGTATCAACGTATCTCATCGTGTTCTCTTCAGTCTTCCAAGGATGCTATTTATAGCTGGATTG